GAACGGGTATGTACTTACTAGATAAGAAGGCTAGGGACAATCTCGAGAGGGACTATAACTTCTACATTACCTTAGAAAGCAAGCACACCGTAGGCCAGGAGCGACTAGTCCTCGTTGCTAGACGTGAGAACACGGGTAATAATAACCTCGAAAAAGCCACTACACGTTATACTAAATGGCTCTAGTGTAACCGCGTCTAAGTAAGGGGCGTAAGAATCCTACTTAGCTTTCTCTCTAGCGTTATGATCTACGACGAGTGGATAGAAGCTAAGTCGATTAAAAGCAATATTATCTACTACCTTATAATAATAGGTATATATTCTAACACTAATATCTACCTTACGCTTCTCCTTAGCGGCACGCTAATGGCTAAGGGTCCTACTAATATAGAAGGGATTTTTTACCTTATTATAGCTAGAATAACGTCTAATATAGTTAACCTACTAATTRCGGCGTATAACGCCGCCGATAAGGCGCTTAGCGAACTTAATGTAATAGAGGGCTAGGGGGATRCTACCGATATCTAAGCCGCTATTAACGTTACTAATATCTAAATAAATATATAGCGGGCGATTGCCCTAGACGTACTCGCGCCCTACTTTATATAGCGACGCTTTAGTTAATAAGTAGGGGGCACTATAATCTATAACCCTAGAGGGGCCCTAATAAAGCACCCCGTCGAGTATATAGCCCTAGAGCCGCGCTATTAAGCTCGCATATAGGAGCTACGCGCCGCTATCGATAGCCGCTATTAGCGACTTCGGGAGTAGTAGAGCGGAAGTAGGAGGAGGAAAGACCCTACTAATAGCGACGTCGACGTTAAGAGGTAACTAACAACTACTAGTAAATGGGTAGCGCTAGCTATATATAGTGCAGTCCTAGGCATCTATATGCTAGATAACGGCGCCGTAATTAGGGACAATATCTCTACTATCGATACTAAAAAAATCGATACCGCTAAAAACGTTAACTCCTACCCGCTATTCTGGCAAATTAAGAGCGCTAGCTGTCTTATTATAGACCGTCTCTAACAATTAGTGTTATAGAGAAGCGCGGATACTCCTACGCACTCGCTAGTCCTCTCTAGCTAACCGCTTATAAGCGTAGTCTTATACTACTAGCTTAAGAGATTCGCCTTAGATACCTACGATATCTACTTACTCTTAGCATCGAATTCTACCGCTAGAGAGCGTATAGATATAGTCGCGCGCCTCTCTAGAGTAGATTATAGTAGAAATATCGTCGTATTCTCTACGCATAAGATAATAGGCCTAGGTCTCGACGGACTATAAAGACTAGCTTCTAGGCTAGTTATCGTCGGCTCTATATACTCACTAAAGGAATTCGAGCAATCTA